CTCTACTAAGCTACAGACACTGTAGTTGGACGAGTTTCAGACCCATCTCCCTCCATTTTCTTTATAAATAAAGGCCCAACTCGAGCTTGAAGAGGGGGAGGAGAGCTTTCCCAACTCCTATAGCACACCCAGCTTGCTTGAAATCGCAGTATCCTTGTAGCCAAACTCAAGCCTCATCATCTGTTTTTCAGTCTCAACACGAGAAATGCCTAGCCTAGCTCCTGCCTTGTTCAAGTTTCATTTGAAGTCTTTTTGGCTGCTGGAAAGCTTGTTTCAAGGTCGTACATGAGAGGTAAGCCTCTCATTCCATCATCTCTTTGATTTTAGTTTAGTTTCAGGTTGCTTAAAGATCTGAAATCTTGGGAAATTTGTATTCTCATTTTCCTCTGGATTGAGAAAAAGAGGTAGAAATGCAAGGGTCTTAGGGAAACTAGTACCTAAGACCCGATAACATCACTTCAAATCAATTCTGGGTGAAGTTGGGAACATTTTCACCAGATTTCAAGAGTTTTGGACAATCTTGTTAGTGCAAGTTTCTACCAGAATTTGAGCTAAAATTACTCCCGTAGTGGACTGTTATAGCAGCTTGGAGAGAGGGGTGCCTAACACATTTCCTCTCCCAATCCTTTGAACCCAAAGCCTTTCAGTTTAGTGTCTTTCCTTGGTGGAGAACGGAGTCACTATCAAGGCCAATAAACCATTTTTCAAAATCAAAAGTGAGGGCTCACTTCCTCTAAAAAATGGGTGGCAACTCCAACTCTTTTAAACCGGCCATAAAATTCTCGGAATTCACACACATCAAAGACCTTAGACCTCTAAAATATTTTTGGGGTCTTGAAGTTGCTTGAAATTCCTCAAACATTTTTATATCTTAGCACAAGTATGCAATTGGCATATTATTTGACATTGAATACTTAGATTGTCGCCCTTCTGAATTTTCCATGGGCATCTCCCGTGCTAATCCCTTTGTTTATCGCCGCCTAATTGGTCGATTGCAATATCTCACCATCACTCAACCAGATTTGGTTGACTCTGTTAATTCATTCAGTCAATTCATGAATCACCCCCACTAACTCCATTGGAATGTTGCATTACGAATTTTATGTTACATGTTCATTGTTGGTCATGGTATTTTTGTCAACTCTGGTGGCCCTCTCACACTTATTACATGTTGTGATTCAGACTGGGGCGATTGTCCATCTTCCATGCGCTTTGTTACTGGTTACTGCATCTTTCTTGGTCACAATCCTCTCTCTTAGAAATCCAAGAAACAACCTAGTGTGGCTCGCTCTTCTGCTGAACCTGAATGTTGTGCCATGGCCACTACATCATGTGAAATACAATGGCTCTTATTTCTCCTTCGTGACCTCGGCATTCCCCTACAGCCAGTGGTTCTTCATTGTGATAGTCAGACTGTTTTACATATTGTCAACAATCCCGTATTCTGTGATCACTCCAAGCATATTGAAATGGACTACCATTTCATATGGGAACGGATACAATGTGGCATATTTCGTCCTTAGCACATTCCTTCCTCCCAACAAATTGCATCATTTTCAAAGTCTGCCAAAATCTCAGTCTATAAAGAATACAAATACAAATATGTACATTTCCAATACTTATAAAATAATACAAAATGAAAGGTTTTACACTGCGTATTTGTATTTGTTTACAGGGACTTGTCGCAAATGAAAATTGAGATTGGTATTTGTCACTGACCCCCATGGTACATTGGGGCCTTTGTAATTTACTCTTCTTTTGCATTTTCCGAAAACCCATTGTGATTAAGATTAAGAACATGTATAATATGTTTTTGTTTTAAATTTTTTATTTTTATGTGATAATTTTAAAAACAAATAAAAACAAAAAATGTTCATGTTATAAGAGCATCCCCTATAAGTAACAAATTAGAAGCAAAGATGAAAAGATAGTGGTTTTTAATGATTATATGACTTGGACAAACCGACATTTGACATGGTTAAAGAAAAAAAAAAAAAAAACTTTGTTTAAAGATAAAGGTACCTCTATGCATCATGCATGTGGTCAATAAAACCGCGTTTGGGTTTCCTACTTTTTTCGCAAAAGTACACTTTCATTTAATAGATTAAATGTGTTCCCTTACACGTGTATAAATATTGATACATATGACATGGGACACTTGTCACAAACTGGATGAACGTGTATAACATATCGGAACCCCTGTAAAACCAAATTTGATTATTTTAAGGAGGCCTATCTTTTTCTGCTCCAACCCAACTGAGTTTAGATTCTATGACCAGCTGACCACAAGTCCACAACAATGGTTTTACGTCTAACGATGATTTCAGCCATTAAGTCATTATCCACTACACCATGTTCTCCACTTATTCATTTACATCTTTTTCAGATTTTTTATTTTTTAATTCCTTTTTGCTTTATTTTAATCGCCACCAACCGTTATCACTCATCATTGCTGTTGCTAATGCTAACAGCATTGTTGCTTTGGAGTGTAATATTTATTATTCGGCCCTGTTCTTTTATTGGAAACATATTTATCCCCATTCTTATGTCAAAAAAATACTAGGGAAACATATTCGGCCCAGGTTCGAATCTGACCCCCACCGATTTGCCCCCCAAAATCGTCCCACACTACCAGAAGAGGCCGCGTGTCCTTTCACACGCATGCATCTCAGTCTCGTGCAGAGTTAAATGAGACGACCGTTATTTGGCCCAAAAAAGTGAGTTTTTCTAAATTTCAAGTTCCAATCTCAGTCTCTCACTCCCATTGACCTGTCCTCTGAAACCTAGACCACCCTATCTCCTCCCTCGTCGGATTCTGCCGAGAAATCCAACACTGATGATCGTTTTGGTAGATACATCGGAGGTACGTACTCCCCATCCCTCTCATCTCAGATATTCTCAAATATATTTTTCTCATTTTTTTTTTAATTTCTTCTTTTTTGCAATTGAAAAAACGCAGAAGGAAAGAATCGCGACAGACACAGGTGCCGGCTCTGGTTAAGATAAAGGCTTGAAACAATGGCAATAATGTATTTTCATCTTATCCCCAGAAAGCTCTTTGTCTTGATTATGCCACTTTTAAGTTCCACAAACCGACTGCTTTCTATCTTTAAATTATCAGCAACAAAGACGACTATAGGAAAAGGATTCATCATTTTCCTCGATGGAAGCCAAACTGAATTAATTTACGCAACTCAACCTCCAACTACTCTTGATTTCCCTTTAAAGTACAGAAACACGCTCAAAGTCAAGTTCTGAACTTGTTTATGATGAGGTCTTCAGCTTCAACCCTGAAATTTGCTCTTATCTTTGCACTGCGTATCAGCCCAGCCGGAGGCATTCTATGGTTAAACTCAAATCAGTGAATTTAGAGTGGAGTATTGCAGGTGGAAGAGAAAACATATTAGAGAATATCTTCCGGCGGTTCTTCCTTTCTGCATTTTTCTATTGTATAAAAAAGTTAAATAACTGAAAAAAAATATTTGAGAATATCTGAAATGAGAGGGATGGAGAGTTCTGGTGTATCTGCCGGAATGATCATAGGCGTCGGATTTTTCGGTAAGATCCGGTGGGGGAGGAGATGGGACAATCTGAGTTTCAGAGGGAAACTTACTTTTTTGGGTGAATTGGGAGCCAACGGGATGAGATAACGGCCGTTCCATTAGCTCCGCACGAGGTTGAAGCGCATGCGTGTTGGAGGACCCGCCGCGTCTTCATGCCTCATGAAAAGTTCAAACTCAAATTCGCTATATAATCTTATTTGTTAATCGAATTGAACTCGAGTCCAATGAATAATATAACCAAGCTCATATAACCAAAAATTTGGTTCAACTCGGCTTGAGTCCATCCCCAAGTGAGACTTCGGAGACACTTATCCGGAAAAAAATGGCCCAACAAGCTTAGTAGAGGCAACTTTTCATGGGTCTTATAGTTCCCTCCAAAAGAATGCCCCTTATACCAAAGAAAGAATCCTATATTAGAGAATTCGTTTCTTGTTGTAAGTTGTAAAACTATATATTTGTAACTTTTTTTCGTTTTAGTGTATTCTATCTTTAGTTGGACTCTTTGACCCTATTTAGTGTGTCTTTTCATACGGTCTATTGGTTATTTACAAGTCCAGCAGACTGTGATTCAGTCTTTTCCTGTTTAGTTTGTAGTAGATCTAACCGCTAAAAGCTGATGCACTGAAAAAACCAAGAAGCCCAAAACAGGCAATTTCTGAGAAACTTCAAATGGAAGTTTTACATTTTTTCTATTCGTCTTCGTGCAGAAAGACACATGGAAAAACATGCCTTAGCTAAACAGGCTTCAGGCTGCACATATCTTAATGCATCTTTTAACTGTTAAAACAGGCTTCAAAAAGATCTGTCAAATGGCCCTTTTATTATTGTACAGAGCTGAATTCCTAACAAATAGGAACCACTGTAGTTAGAGTCCAGTATTTTGTTAATACTCCGAGTGATCTCATGTATGTTATTTGGGAGGATATTTCTGGTCTATCATTTACGAGACTATGTAGCTCCTTTGTAGCCTTTCCTTTATTTCTGCAGAAAAAAAAAAAAAAGAAAAAAGGAAAAGGAAATGGAAAAGGAACCGCTCTCATATGGGATTTCAAAAGCAAAAAGGAAATTACATAAAATGAAACAATAACATAATTCTCAGATTTTTCATATGCTCATTCCATGGATGGTACTATGAAAACATGGTCTAAACATATTACATGTCAATATAGATGTAATGCAATTAAATTTTACTCGGCCCATTAAGCTAAAACATAATTGATTTATATGCCAATCCATCTGGGCCGTTTATATTGATGCCATCCCTCCTTGAGCTGGTGATACCCTACTTTTCTTGTCACCCATGAAAGGAATCAAACCTACAAGAAAAGAAGAAAAAGTAGGAGCAAAAGTAAATAAAGAGAGTTGTCAAGACAAGAGAAGCTTTTCCTTGCTTATCACAGCTAATCACTTCCAATATGCACTATCTATTATTAGATTAGTCTATATATATCCTCTTCAATTTACTACTCTCCTCATCTCATCCAACTCTAACGAGAACTCTCTTCAATCCTCACAAGAAATCTTCCCTTTCTCTTCTCTTCCATCTCCCTTCATCCTTGAGATTCCAACTTACACAAATGGTGAGACCAGAAGCTGCTCTAATTTGTCTCTTGATCTTGGCCATGGATGTCAGTGCGGGAATACTGGGAATCCAAGCTGAAGTTGCTCAGAACAAGGTATGAAGTATGATATGCCACACAAGAAAAAAGAAAAGAAAATTAATTTCCTTTGAACACTAACTTCAATTGATGATTTTTTCTTCCAAAATTTACAGGAGAAATATGTGAGGCTGTGGATTTTTGAGTGCAGAAACCCAAGCCATCAAGCTTTCAAGCTGGGACTGGCTGCAGCATCCCTTCTGGCTTTAGCGCATGTTATTGCTAACTTGGTTGGTGGGTGCATGTGCATTTGTTCCAAAGACGAGTTGGAAAGATCTTCGACCAATAAACAGTTAGCAGTGGTTTGCCTCATTCTATCATGGTATGTGTTCCATGGGCTCGTTATACCTTTCATATCCCAAATTTCCTCATTACTTAGGCTCTTATGCATTATTTTAGGTTTGCAAATATGGATCATACTCTCTTTAGTTAATCAGACTTAGAGGATGTTCCTCTAAAATTTACTAACTAAAGCATAAGAAAAGCACGTCTTAGCTGGTAGCTTAAAGAACTTCTATGGTTTGTACTGTCATACTTGAAACTTTTTTTTGGTTGGATATAAGTGACGGGGTTCTAGGTTCCATAAGGTTGTGGGTTGCTATATGCTAGTCCCAAAAATAATAATAATAATAATAGCAGGGCTAGTATGTTAAAGAATTCATATCTGTGTCCCACAGCACATCCCAACCGTGTATTGGGAGCATCTCCCAATGACAAATATGGGGTGAGATGTGCTGTGGGGCACCCTCTGTGGGGTGATCTGAATTCTATATTAATATAGCAACAGGGATATGCGCATGGGCCTATGATTAGCATTGAGTATATGGAGAATCTACCCTTTCTCTTTGGGGAAATACTTTGGCAGTTTGGGAGGTTCATCTGCATATGACATGTTGCATTCTCCATTCAGTTTCTTGTTTCTCTTTTTGGCTAGAAGAATATTGATTGCAAATAAGGGTGTAAGTGTGTAACTCAATCAGCCTAAGTTAACATTTTACACTACTTTGGGCTCAAACTTTTGGGCTGAACCCATTCTGATATTGACAAAAGCCTTTTACCCTAACCTGCTCAAATTGCACCCCTAGTTGAAAATATTCTTTCGCCTCACACCCATGATAAAGTGTCATGGACAAGAAACTTAGGTTGTGTTTGGTATAATTGTCACTTGTAATGTTTTAAGTTAGTCAATATAAATTTTATGAGAATATTTTTTTTTCGACAACAAATGTTTTGAGTTATCAATGTAACATTTGGTACCATTGTTATTTCTTCAAGATACGTCAAATTTGATGCTTTTATTATAAATGCCAACACCCAATTCAATATCTATATTTTTTAGAAAATTTAATTATTTAATGTAATGAAATAAAATAATTTCTCAAAAATTTATATTAACCAAGTTAAGAAATATTACAATTAAAAGTGACAATCATACCAAATGCAACCTTAAACAACTAAAGCCATAATTTGTCCTCCTATTTGAACCCCGATCTTCCCAAACGGAGGAATACCAAATAACCAGCTAAACTACTAGGCCATGGATAAAAGTTCAAAATTTCAAATACTGTTGGAGTTTAGATATTTACATGAATAATTTAATAGGAAGATAAAAGCATACAGGGTAGCTCACATAGTCCACCGGCAGCAAAAATTAACGGAATGTATGGGCCTTTGGACTCTAGAATGGGCTAGAAGTCCTTGCACGAAAATGTGTTTGACGGTAGTTGGCCATAGCCCATAGGACTCAAATCTATACTATCAATTATCGAAATAAAAGATTCTAATCCTACGGGCCTTTGCTTGAAAGGGAAGACGATCTGATGTGTACCTACTTGGGTTATCTCACGTACACTGTATACATAACATAAGATAACTAACCTCTTATTAATCAATTGCTAATTTTCAGGATCGTACTAGCAGTTGGATTCTCGATGCTGATAATAGGAACAATGACAAACTCAAAATCAAGAGGATCTTGCGGGATATCACACCATCATTTTCTATCAATCGGAGGGATTTTGTGCTTCGTCCACGGGCTATTTTGCGTTGCGTACTATGTTTCCGTTATCTCAGCCGTGAGGGAGGAAGAAGGAAAAGATCGGACTTCCACCACCAGAGACGCACAGATGGCCTCAAGGGGACAGCATGTATGAGTGTATCACTCAGCTAGTCAGCTGTAGTCTGTCTGTAGGTGTTTTTCTTCCCATATTCCACATCTTAAATGCAGAGTGCAAACAACGGGTCTAGCTTGACAAGATTATCTTTACAAATTACAAAATACAACAATTTGTGTATGAATTATGCAACACCCCAGACCCAGAGGCACAATTTGTTTATGTAATTTTGGTTCTGTTTTCTTACTCTTTACTTCTCCAGGAATTACCGTCTACCGAATTAATTTCTGCCATTATCAACCCAGCTGTAGTCTGGGTACAGACTTATCCAGGTCCAACTTCGACTGTTGACACCTGGCTAATTGTCAAAACCGGAGAATTTATGATACAGTTAAAAAAATTTAATGCCTTATTGTTTGAGTAAACAAGAAAAACCGAAAATCGAATCAATTTTGATTCAGTATTTTAAAAAGCCGAAGGTTATTAGTTTAATTTTGATTAATTAAAATAGAAAACAAACAATTAATCGAATCTAATGATATATATATTTATATATACATATTATATTTTTTATACATCATAAATTAATAAATATGTATTATATATATTTATAATATATAATATATTTTTTAAAATATAATATTTTATATATTTTTTTAATTTTTTATTATATATTAATATAATTTTATAATATATATTATAAATAATAAAAAATTAATAAATCAACCGAACCGTGAGCACCCATACATCTTGGTGATGAAATTGTACCAATTGACGGACCTCGTTCGATAATACATATGTTCGCAGAAACAAGCATTAGTAATTCCTGCCTAGGAGGCTTCACATCCAGACCCTCATCCACATGAGATTTATTTATTTTTCTCTTGTGATACATTCTCTCTCTTCATTTGCTTTTTTTTTACAAATCTCATTCTTTCTCTCTCTCCCTCTTGCGCGTGTATTGCACATGCTACTCAAGTGAGAGAACCAAGCATTTCTGATAATTGCAATTATTTGCTTATTATAAAGACTCATGATCCGGACCGTTCTTTACCTCTCAATCGAACGATCATCCTTTCGATCCGTGTGCTCCTCTCTCATTGGTTACCGCCAGACACCAACTACTATATAAATCAAAGACCGGCTGCTAAGCTACGAAAATATTCAAAAAGCTTTTAACCCTTCCTTCCGCAGCCCTTCCCTGCTGTGGTTCTAGCCGCCCTCCGGTGATTTTTTGAAGCTTTCTTTTTCTGATATTTTCGCCGGGTTTTATTATACATCGGCGGTGGTCTCGGTTGCCTGGAATTGATTTTAAGGGGAAAATGGCGGGAAGGGGTAAGATACTGGGATCTGGGGCAACGAAGAAAGCCGCATCGAGGAGTAGCAAAGCTGGTCTTCAATTTCCCGTCGGACGTATTGCTCGTTTCTTGAAAGCCGGAAAATATGCTGAACGTGTCGGTGCCGGTGCTCCTGTCTACCTCGCCGCCGTCTTAGAATACCTTGCCGCTGAGGTACAGATTTAATTTAACTGAGCTCCTAACCAGCTTAGTATTCATTCGATGTCTCTATTTTCAGATTGCTTTCCTTTCTCTTTTTTCTAAATTTGTTTTCTGGAACATATTTGGGGTGATAGAATACCGAAACTACCCCTTGAAAGGAACAATATTCCTAGGTTTATCTGGTTTTAATGTGGGTACACGTGTACTTAAGAGTGTACGGGCTCCGTTTCACAGGTGTTGGAATTGGCGGGGAACGCGGCCAGGGACAACAAGAAGTCCCGGATCGTTCCACGGCACATCCAGCTGGCGGTCAGAAACGACGAGGAACTCAGCAAATTGTTGGGTGCCGTTACCATTGCCAATGGTGGTGTCATGCCCAACATTCACAATCTGCTTCTCCCCAAGAAAGCTGCCGGGTCCAAAGCCGACGCCGGCGACGACAACTGATCGGAATATTTCCTTTTCTTATACGTTCCCGGCAGACCAAATAATTGTTGGTAACTGTTTAATTATAGAGATGTTTTTCTTGGATCCTTTGTAGTTTGTCAGTACGAAATGTGAATATCTTTTCTTTCCATTAAAAGGAATCTTATCTCCTGGTATCTGTGTGTGGCGGGCTTTGATATTCGGATCCGAGGTTGTTAACGACGATAGGGGTCTCTATTGTAAGCACAAAAAAGAAAAATTATTAATTTGCAGCCATTTTAATGTCTTATTTAGCTAAAAGTGACGGGCTTATTTTTCTCGGGTCTGGTAAAACACCCCAACTTCATCTCCACCGGCGGGGTTCGCAATTTCCGAAAAAAATGGCTTTGAACTTTTCGTCGTTCAGTCGCTTTTGAGGCTTGTTCTCGGTCTCAAATTCATTCGTGGAATATACACACACCTAAAGAAAAGCAACAGCAATCAAAACGAGAACTTCGCTTCGACACATTTTTTCTTTTTCTGTGCTGCACGGCTGAACAGAGGGAGGATTGGGTCTTGGATATGTCGTAATTCTGAGCCGACCACAGTTTTGATTTTTAAAAGGTCTGTGGGTTTGACTAGTGTGGACCCCATGGGTGGGTTCGAAGTGTACATTTTGAAACATGACGCATGACAAATAATAGTAAATAATGGACGCTTACATCACCTGCAAAGATGGGTGTTCATCTGCTTCTTTAACGATTTATGACCGAAGCCGGCCACATATTATTGGTTCCTGTCCATGAACCAGCGCTACGACAGTCGTAGCATATGTTTAAGGTTTGTATATCTGACGTGGCAAAGGTGAAGTGGCCCACATAACTAAATTATATTGGTTTTAGTTTCTCTTAGTGTTTTAGGAATATTTAATGCAAGATGGGCCTATGATAAACCAATAGATTTTTTTTATTCTAATTTTAACATTTTAGGTTTACTATTTTTATTATTTTTCTTATTTCTTTTTCTAATGGTCTTTCTATTGATTATTTTTGTATAGACCAAATTAATTAAGTTATTATTTTTTAGACTGCTTCTGGTAGAGGTGTAAAATTAAATCGGGATAAATTTTATACGTCGGTTCGATTTTGCAAGCATTTGATAGAGGTGTATCAATCGGTGTAAAATTTCATTCTTGTCAGTATATTTATTGAAAATTGGTGGAAAGTTTACATCGATAAAATCCATGTAAATTTTACCTTCCTCTGCAACTTCTCTTCAACGGTATTGCGTCTGGACCTCCGTATCTGTCTAATGAGAGCTTATGATGGACCTTCGCATCCTGCCCAACTACATCAAGAGCCTACGCAACGCTGCCGCTTGCGACTCCATTCGTTACGATGAGCGGGAGATCTCCTTCGACGAGACGCCGCTCTTCCACTTCAAAACATTGCACTGTCCAGCATCACAGGTTTCATATCCCATGCATCAATCTGCCCGTCGATTTCGACTTCAGGGATGACTATTGCAACGACCACAATCAAAAAGATGGTGCATATAACCAAGGTGGTGGGAGGAGTTTTCCAGGAGATGAGAGATTATGATTGTGAAGGAAGTGGGGATGATGAGCAAAACTCCGAATTGGTGCCATGCGGAGAAGAGGAAGGGATTGATCTCAGGGCGAAGGTGTTCATAGCCAAGTTCTACACACAGATTGGCAGAGGAAGAAGAGATTGATCTTAGGAGCGGAGAAGAGGAAGTAGTTCCCCACAACGACGAGACGGAGAGAGCAGCACGAAGTCGACGGGCGTTCAGGGATTGAAGAAAGTCGACGAGTATGGAGCACTGGACCGGGGAGAGGAAGATGCAATAATGCGTTTCATGTGCGATCCACTCTCACGTAGTTCGTGTGAGGTGCCGTACCGATCACCGCAACCGTGAGCCTCCGTAGTGCTTCAGGCGCAGGGTATCTATGACCGTTCACCTTTTTTTGAAAATTTACATTAAAAAAACCCAACATGATCGATGTAAATTTTCAAAATCAACCGGTCCTAATTTTCATTAAATCGATTCACATTTTTAATGGTGTAAAATTTAAAAATGCAGTCTTAGGAAAAATTTGGAAGTTTAAAATGTGACAATATGATACTTGTATTTTGGAAATGTGACAATCTAGTATTTATTGTTAATGAATCATCAGTTATATATATCACGTGACCTCATCTATCATTTAAACCTTTTGAAAATATCAAAATTATCCTTGAAAATAAGATAGATTGTTCGTCATCTTTCTTAAGAGTCTATCACAAACATCAAAACCCTTCTTACAACCGCCCTTGTCTAATAGCAATGCTATATCAAAATGCTCGACACAATAAAATGCCTCCTCGGTTCAGTGGGCCCCATTGACTTCAGCTCCAAATCAACGGCTGAGCAGATCATCGGAGCTTGTTCGGATCTTTGCTCCACCACTACTTACAGTTCCATGTACGTTATTCTCATATTAACAAGCATTCTCTTCACTTACCAAGCGTCACCTCAAGGATTGGAGCTGAGACGACACGGGTTTTAGCGAAACATGGTGCCAGGCTTGTTTTTCCAAGAAAGCCGCCGAGGAAGCCAAGGCCCATATTCTATTCTAACTGAGTTTTCAGTCTTAAATCTTCGTCATGGCTCTCGATATATCCCAACTCTCTTTCTTCCATTCAAACCTTTGTTTCCATGTTTGAATCCCTCAACTTGCATCTCAACCTGCTCACGTGAGTCATGTCAACAAGCAAATAAAAGAAAAATAAACGTATTCTAATTTTTTCTCTTATTATTTACTTTATCCAGTTTGTAACGAGTTTCAGATGGATGAATTAAAGCAGTTGGTTGATAAAGAAAATTAGATAATACTTGAAGCGCATATGTATTTTTTCATGTGCCACTTAACGGCTGATTAGCATCAGGTAATAAATTGCTATGTTTTGAAAGTTCAAATATTAGATTGTCTCATTTTTACCAAATTGTCACTCAAGCCAAAGTATGGGTACTGATCGGGAATTTTCCCTATTCTTTATTTTAAACTATTGAATCACCATAAATCTTATATCCAACTATATGGATGATTCTTCATATGTTTCCTTTCTTTCAAATTTGTCACTTGAATTATTTGAGAATTTTACATTTTTAAACCTAAAATGTAAAATGTTTATAATTGATAGCTGACTCATTATTTTATTTTAATGTAATTGCTAAAAGTTAATGCTTTTAAACTTTTATTGTATAGATATTTATACATTCTATCATTCTAATTTAGCATAGTATATGATATTTTTATCAATTTATAAACTTTAATTAATTTTTTTCTTAAGCTTTGAAGTATACGCCTCACCTTTTTGGGCCATTATGAATCAACTACGCCTTTAGGCTTTTATAACCTTGGGAATGGGATTTCATTCCCAATAGAGGGGCAAGGAATAGCCAAGGGAAATGTCATTCCAGTAGGAATAGAAATAGGATTTTGATTCTGCCCAACCAAACAGTTGGAATTGGAATAGGCCATTCTGATTCTAATTCCAAACCTCTATTCATGCGAATCAAGTGGGGCTTTAAACTTTTTTTTTTAAATTGTCTAAAGTTAGTAATTTGACTTTAAAGAAATTATGGAGTATTAATAGATTACCATTTTACCCTTTGTTATAGTTAATCCATTTTTTAATATTTCAAAAATACCACTATGAAGCAAGGTGCCAACCAACTCATTGATAATGTTTCCTACTGGTCATAGCAGAGACTTGGGATCTGATGAGGGCAAATTTGGCCCTCCAGTGAAATTGTGACATGTGGCACCTCGTGACAACTAAGCAAACACCCAGGCAACAACTTACCAAGTTGGTGTCCCCCTCCAGGCACCGGTCTGGCACGACCTGCACGTGGCCTACGGGCGGCCTGCACGC